AAAACAGAAAGGATTGGTTCTCAGTTAGACACCGACTCTAACCACAGCTGTGGAAAAGGCTCCTGTGTTGGCTGTGTGTGTGTGTGTGTGTGTGTGTGTGTGTGTGTGTGTGCGTGTGTAAAACACTCATTTGCTTGTTAAAAGCAGAGAGGGTCTCTCCATCGTCATGAGGTCCTCTTTCACTCTCCGGCTGATGGACAGGATCAGGTCACTTTGTTGACCTTCTTTTCCAGCGGCAGCCACTTGGATGGTAATCACAAAAAATAACACCAGCCCCCTAAAGAGCGCCAGCCTGAGCCGTCCTGTGGACCTGGTCACAATGAGAGCTCTCTAAATGAGCTTATTAATCACAAACAGCACGAGAAGCAAAGCCGTTCTGAATTCATTATGGATCTGTAGAGCAGACTCAATCATTAGGTATCAACGAGGGTGGACGGCAAGCACGGACACCTCATGAGCGCCTCGTGCCACATTCCAGCGCCATGAAGCACAATAACACTTCATCTAAGCACCATTTACAAAACGCTGCTGTGAAGATATTCGAATTATGTTTCATATCAAGGTACTACAGCGCATTATCGTTTTAAAGACCAAAACTTAAACCAAAAGACCTGGGTCTGTTAAAAACAGATTTATTTATTTTTTATGTTTTCATAGTGTATCTTTTCAGCTGCTTCTCAGCTTTGATTATGCCCCGTACCTACACACCAGCCAACAGCACATGCTAATGTAGAGATTACACAAAAAAAAAGGCCTTCACCTTTTTTGATCAGGCACTGCTCATGTCTGTGTTTGTCTCTTTTGATAAGGTCCTTTCATCTTGTTTGCATTGATTAGAGGCCGACGAGTCACAGTGATACTTAAGGGCTCTATTCATGTCTGCTGCCCCCGCGACACACACTGGGCCCATTGTGGCGAGGAATGTCTCCTTTCAAGGCCTGAACTCGCCTGTGAAAGCATGTCAATAATCCTGAGTCAGTGGGCGCTTTAGAACGCCACAGCGACCGTCCAACTGAACACACCGCGGTGGAAATCCAGCCCCCAGCGCTGCACTCCACTAATTCAAAGCAACTGGGATGGCTGGAAGTGGCGGCAGTTGAATGGATGAAGTAATTAATCTCATGGATGCTGGAATATAAACAGCCTCACAAAGGTGATGTCACCCTCAAAGGAAGAGAAAAACAGCAATAATCAATTTCACCCCTTGCTTATAGCCCACAACGTCCAAAAACTGGCCTACAGGCTAAACTGGGTTTTTTTTTTTAGCAGTGCAGAGACAATTCGTTTTTTACACTTCAGTCCTCCGTCAGAGTGATTTTGTTAAGGATTCCTACACCGCCTGGAAACACTGAGGAAGTCTGGGTCTGATTTAAGCATGTTCAGTGTCTTGATGAGCATCTATCCATCCACATTTGTCCTTAGCCGTTTGTTTGTTCGTTCATTCATTCACTCATTCATCTATCCATTAGTTTGTCTGCTTTTGATATTATCCATCCGTCCGTCCATCCATCCATTTGTCTCATCTTTAGACATTAGCCATTTGTCCATCCATCCATCTCCCCATCAACCCATCTATCTGTTTGTCTGCCTTTGATATCATCCATCCATTCATGCATCCATTCATTTGTCCATTTGTCTACTTTAGACATTAGCCGTTTGTCCATCCGTCCGTCCATTCATCCATCTAGTAGTAATCCTAGGCTCCCTATTTCTTGTACAAAATGAGAAGAAGAAAGTATAACCAACTAAAACTGTGGTTTGGATAATTTATTTGCGCAGAGAATGTGATATCATAAGCAGATTAAATGTGATTTTACTCTTTAGAGGCCACTAACCCTATTAAAAATATACATCAATCATATTTATTTAATGGCTGCTTTAAGTTTGGAGGCCAAAGGAATCCACTGACGAAGCTTCTGCAGAGATGAGAGTGCAAAGAGCCAATCATCACTCTGTAAAGAATTAAAAGCACCTCTGCAAATAGCCTCAATATTTGTGCAGTGCCTCGGAGTGGGAGTTTCACAGCGTCTGGGTTTCCAGTGCAAATAAACAGTGCAGAGGTCTAGAAGGGCGGAGCGGCCCCACTTCTCCCAGCGGTGAAGCCCACTTCTTTGTTGTTGCTTAATCTAGGCCACTCTCTATTGAGTGGGATGAAAAGTGAATCTTTGTGTGTGTTTGCGTTCGCGTGAATGCGTGTGTGTGTGTGTGTGTGTGTGTGTGTGTGTGTGTGTGTGTGTGTGTGTGTGTGACGCATCCATGACCGGCTACGTGTCAGATGAAGCCGTACGATAATGTCTGTTTGTATGCGGTTCTTGAATCAGAGGCTCGGGCCTGTGGAGACCGTCGCTGTGTTTGCCAGTTCCCAGATAACCCACATCCTTACACTGGGCCTACACATACCAATCCCAGGAAGCTCAGCGCAGAGCAAACTGTCAAATATCTGCGCCACTGACCAACAGCTCCACTTAAATCAACACTACAAGCCCACTTGACTACAGATATGATGAATGGACGATGATGTTGAAAATCTAGCAGCTCCCCTTCCTCTGCCCACCGAGGCACCGATCTTATGAAAATGCGTCCCATGTTTGTGCGTTAATGCTCCTCTTGAGTAGAGTATGTAATGTCTTTCATGCTGATTCTGTTGAAATTGTGTGTAGCGTAAAAGTAAAGGAGAAGTAAACCTCCGGCAACTGTTGATTCATTAGTGGAACTCCAATCTGCAGTCTCGTTTTTATAAACTGGACTTGACTTTTTTGCATGCTATGTCTTGTACGTAGTCGTGAAGATTTGTATGCACACCCCAAATCAAAATCCCATTTGGATCTAACAATACATCAACAGGATGAGCTCAAATGTGTGATGAGATTTAAATTAAAATAAAAATGATTCTTCCATGCAAAAGTGACAACTGAAACCGTCAGCAAATACAAAAATAAGTTAATCTGAGAAGTGGTTTCTGAGCATGACACAGGCTTCCTCAAATCATCCTGCTATCATTTTGCAAGAGAAGTGAACTAAAAAGTTTAAATTGTGCAAATGATTGGGAAAACGTTGAGCAATGCGGTTATATTGGATTTTAGTGCCACTGCTCTTTTCAGGAACTGGAAAGAAAAAAAAGAGCTGTGGTCTAACACCATTAATTCGTTTAGCGAACACAGTCACACTTGGCTATTTAATGACTTTAAGGGTGCTAGTAGAGTGAAAGGGTCTTGGTAGCAGGTGGATATCTTTGAATCTATGAAGAAATTGAAACTGTTGACTAAATTACAGCAGGAAATGTAATTAGTGGAACCTTGTTAACAAGCTGAGTGCTGTAGCCTCACCTGTAGTCCTGCCATGTATCGCCAAATGCACTAATCATAACACAGAATAACATAACGAAACGTACATTTTTACCTGTTATCTGTTTCAACGCTTACGATGCCTGACATTGCAGTGATTCTGAAATTTTCATTCAGACATTCTGTCCTCTGAGGAAACTCGGATGTTCAAAAGCAGACTAAAGTTTTATCTTGTTCAAATGTCTGTTGTCTCTTAGAGTCTGTGATTACGACTGCTACTGGAACAATTAATCATTTGCAGAAGTTTTATGTGAAACCCTTCTTTAAAGTCTCCCAGCCAGTGTGTCACCCTGCGACATGCCCTCAGTACATGAGTTATTATCCCAACTGATGTCGCCACATCTGCAGGAGGGATCCATTTGTTGCTAGGCAGCAGCCGAAGCACGCAGCGTGCTAGCTACAGCTCAAATGCAGAGTACTTTGCGCACTTCATTGTGCTTCATAAAAATGATGAAGTATTACAAAGCGGTGTTTCGGTCCTGGGAAGAACAAAATGTTCCAAAGTGAATCCAATTGCATTATTTTTATTGGCATCTTGATTTTCATTGTATAATATTGGATTTATTTTTGCACAATCCTCTAATCTGCAACTTAGGTTTGTTATGGTGAGTATAGGTGATTTTTCACTTACAAACCATATTCTTAAGAGGTGTGCATTCATTTTAGATAAAATAATCAACATGTCTATTTTTATTTATTTATTTATTTATTACACCAGATTAAGTTCAACATTTAACAACAGCCTTTATAAACCAGTAAAACCACAAATGTCGCGAAGGCTCACCAAACCTGGTCCACTAACAGAAATCCAGTGCTTAAATCAAAACATGAGGAGCCTAAATGGACTCCTAGATAAACAAACAAATGTAGTTTTAAAGGAAATTGAGAGCAGAAACAGATGAGCGAAAGGAGCCAATGTTTGAGTGAGGTAAAAGCTTTGTTTTGCGGCAAATGTTTTCATGGGGGGAGGGGGGTTGAAGAGTGTGGGGTGCATGGGGGGGGAATCAAACTGATATTTAAGCCCCTACTAGCTTTTTTTCCTGCTTTTGTTTTATGCAGGGCTCTTTTTACCACATGGTAGTGACAGATTGTTTGAGCTGAAAGGAAAAGCCATTCGAAGCTAATTAAGCAGCCATTCCAGGCACTGTTCGCAGGCAGGAGGGAGAGTAGCACAGGCATTTGTCAGCGCGGTACCCAACGTGGGTTTAATTGACAACGGGGACTCATGACTGACAGCGCTTCCAGCACTCAGCCAATCGTAAGCGGCGCAGGAAGACAGCTGGGCTCCCATTGGATAGAGAGCAGTGAGGCGGCGGTAGAGGTCCCCACGTGGGGAGTGTAGGGCGAGCAGCACATGATAGGCGGAGTCACGGAGGTGTTGTAGTCTTCCTATTGATGGTGATAGGAAAGCTTGTACACGCTTAAGGTCTCGTTAGAAATAGGTCGATCAATTCAAGTCACTCAAAGGACGTTCTGCTGTAGATAAAGCATCTTTTTATATTCTGCGAATTTGAGGTTTTAGTAAATGCATGTGCTTTATTGTTGTTTTTGGGTTGATAACCAAGCGAGCATGTTTTTTTTTCTTTGTATTTCTGTCTCTTTCTTGTAGAAGTCTCATCTTCACGTTCTAGTACTAATATTTATTTTAGGGTGACATTGCCTTCATTTATATATGTTCACCTGGCATTTAATTTGCTTAAATAAGCATACCTCTGGGGGTGACGTTCACACCACAGACGTCCTTGGATGACCAGAGTTTAATAGATGTAGACGGCATTTGCTCTGCTTCGCTGAAATGGACGAACATATAAATTATTACCTTTGTTTTGAACAAGTTGTTGAACGCTCAGAATGTCACTTCACATCCAAAATGGCGACCGTGTGAGGTCACTGTATTTGTCCAATGAGAACGTCTGTTTTCTTCCAACCCCACGTGGGGATGCCGCTCAGTGATTGGTTGCTCGTGCTGAGCTCCGACGCGGAACCTGATTGGTTGGTGCGGGGCCCTCTCTCAGCAGTGAGGTCCTCGTGTCAGTGCACAGTCTGTGTGTGGTACAGCGCGCGGCGGAGGAACTGGGTACCCAACGGCAGGCTGGCGGTGAATTAAACAACGCTCGATATTTTAACACAAAATAACTGGTTCAGTCGACAGTTAGTACTATCAGGAGCTACTGGAGAACTGGCGTACTGCTACAGGATCTAACTTAGCCTGTTTTGAAGTTGTCTGCGGTCGAGGACTCGTCCAGCGTCCGATCGGACGGACGGAGCGCCGCTCTCCGCCTCGGAATCACCGGGCTTTAAAGGACTCTCAAGGGGCCGAACAAGACGAAGCGTACAAATACAGGAACGACGAAAAGACATCTTTGTTTTGCTCTTTAAGTCGTCAGTGGCGGTGGAAAGTCGATGATATTCCGCAGTGTGTGGATACTATTTCTTACCTGTATAGAGGAAGGAGGAATCAGTCGAGACAAAGGTAAAAAGGGCTTCACGGAGAGAGCCGCTAACGAGGCGAGTGGTGGTGTGGCTTTTATGGGAGCAGACTTCTTGTTTTCTGATCACCTCGGACCACCAAAACACTGTAGATTTTCTCTCTTATTATTACGGAGAACTCGGTGCATTTATAAGAAAAGCGAAGCATCGTGTCCCTGTGGGTGTATTCAAAACTAAAACTTTGGGATTTATTCTCATACTTGGGAAATTTATCGCATTTTTCTTACTGCGATGCACACTTAGCCATCTGGTAAAGAATCTGTCATATCTAGGAAAATATTTTCAAAATCGCCCCCAAAGAGCGACTTTATTATCATTATTTTTTTTATTATTATTTTTTACGTAACCGACTCCGCGGTTAGGTCACTAAGGTGAAATTGGTGTTGCTTTGTGTTTTTGTTTATGTGATCCAGCTCCTGAGCGGTGCCCCGTTTTCTGTTTGTTTAGGTCCAAAGCGAGGCTGAGGAGGTGACACATCCACTGGTCGGGGGTCTGAAAGTGCGCCTGGCAGCCCAGAAAAAGGCTTTGTCCGCCGCCATCCTGCGTATACAGGGGAAGGGGTGGCGGTGATTTACCGCCCCTTCTCTGGGATTTACGACCAAGAAAAAAAAAAAAAAAAAAAAAAAAAAAGGGGGGGGGAGAAAAACACATCGATTCCCTTGTGTAAAAGGCTCGACATGTATCCACAAGGCCGGCATCCGGTGAGTATAGCTGCCTTTGTCACTGTTTGTGCGTTGATGCAAATAAAGCAACCTTTTAAAAAAAATTTGCTTAATTACCTGAGAATTGAGCTGTTGCTATTTATGGCTTGAGTTGGTGCCAAGGTGTGTTGCACCTTGTGTATGGTTTACATCATTGTGCAAATTTGTTGTCAAAACGACAAGAGCCATTTATGCAGTAGTTCTGTGTGGATGGATTAAGTGGGTGACTTACTGGTAGATCACAGATGAAGGCAACCTTCTTTCTGTTCTGCTTCTTGAGGCTCAGCAGACGCATAAAAAGCCACGAAGAGATAAAGACCTGGGTTTAGCGAGAAAAAGCAGGAGGTGGTGGCAGGAAAGTTATCTGCTGATGATGTTTACACCTGCGGTGTTTCCACTCTTTCAGGCACCTCACCAACCAGGGCAGCCTGGCTTCAAGTTCACGGTGGCAGAGTCCTGCGATAGGATCAAAGACGAATTTCAGTTCCTGCAGGCCCAGTACCACAGGTAATGACTAACTGACTGTAAACAGCTCTGGCTTCCTGGAAACAATAGGAAGAGGAAGCTGCTACTGGTCGCTCCTTTATTGTAGCCTCATGCACACCAAGCTGACACTTGCGGCGTATAAAATCTAAACTGCTTTCTCACGTTTACTGTAAACACTTGATGACGTTTGCTTTTTTGATGGCTCTCTGTTCGGATCGTATTCAGTAAACGCCTTCTCTCGTTTTGTTTTTCTTTCTTCCTACAAGTCTCAAAGTTGAGTACGATAAACTGGCCAACGAAAAGACTGAAATGCAGCGCCACTATGTCATGGTAAGTACAATAATTGCAAGCCATGAATCTGATTTAATGCCGCACCCTCCCATTTGCCTCAGGTGAAAAGTCACAGGTGGTGCAACCGAGTTGTTTTTCCAAGATCTTGTTAGATTGTTGACTCACGCTTGTTTTCATTGGACGAGGAGGAGCAGGGTGGGGGTTAAGGGGCCGTTGAAATTCTAGACAGGGTCAAATGTCCAGCTATTGATCGTAGGGTGTGACGACCCCGTCCCATCTGTGTCTCTGGGTTCCTCTATGTGCCCCTCCACCCTAACACACCTAACAGGATCCAAAGGAAGTTAATGGCTCCTCTGCTGGCTTTGTGCTTGAATCAGTGGGTTTCCTGTGTGTGCCTTATTGTTTTATTTTAGTAACCTCCTCAGAGTGAAACAAGTGTCACAACCACAGCTTTCTCAGACAGGGGAAGAGTGTGAGTCTGCTCAGACTTGCTGCCAACATGTTTCCTGTTTGATCAGATGTCAAGTGGACAGCTCTAAGTACATGTGTTAGAACCACATGTGGCCCAAGAGAGCACCTTTGATCGGCTTTTGTTATTCCCCCCCGCACCCCCTGTGGTGAAACTCCCAACAATCATTTTCATCGAACTTTCTAACCCAAGAATCATTTTTCATGTGTAGTCTCTCAGATTGATGTTGCAAAATTTTAACTTGGTCAACAGCTGGGCCTATTAGCTATAATTAGTCCAGGATTCAGTTTAATTAGAAGTTTTCCTGCTGCTCAGTGTAAAAACAGTGAACAAAACATGGTGGGATATTACTGCTTGTATTCAAAGATTATTAGTATTTGAAATTGTAAATGCTTGCAACTGCTTTTAAGATGAGGTTTAATGTAAAAGTGCGCTCAGACAATTTGTGCTATACTGAGTTCAGAGTTCATAAAACAGGGACAAAAACAGATGGTTTTGTAAACATGACCCAACTCAAAGGTTCTTGCCAACACAAGCTTCATTGAGCGTCCACAGAGCAATCTGTCTCCCTACTGGTGTGTCCACATAATATTATTGTTTATGTTAAAGGACTAATGACGGACAAGGTGTCGATTTCACTTTTTTGAATCTTCTTTTCGTTATGATAAGGTGTTATCAGCAGCTATAAATCGTGTGTCTTTGGTAAACAACTACACTTTAGTTTGGATCTGGTTAGTTTGGCTTTTGACCATCACAGAAAGTGTTTTTTTGTTTTTGTTTGTCAGGTCTTTGAGGTCATAGGTTGGGGTTGTGTTTAAAGGCAACCTGTCGCTCAGATGAAACCAGTCCTCTGTTGCTGACGCAGTAAAAAGTACACGAATATCGTCCACTGATTTGGTCAAAGTTGTTCTGCTTTTTTCGTTCACTCCTTTCCTAAAGCTTCAGTCCAGCATCTCCTTTGTGGTTAAAATAAAAATATCTTAGTCTTTAATTTTCTCATCACTGGGTCAAAATGAATTACCTAGAACCACTTGTGTTAAACCGATTAGGGTGAGTATTTGAGGATAAATACCTGCCTTTGAGTCTGACGTATTTTTGAAGTGAAAAGTCTGAGGTTTAATGTTTTGTCTCTTTTTTTTTCCCAGTATTACGAGATGTCCTATGGACTCAACATTGAGATGCACAAACAGGTATGTCGCCACATCAGATATGGTCTATGTACATCCAAAATACTTGTTTTTTCCTCCCCTAGTGTTTGAAGAGTATAAACATGTGCATGCATGCATATCTGACCTTAGTTCCTGCCCTTATCCCTAAATGCTTTTCAGAGGCGTACCCATACAGGCTTCCTGTTGTAGAAATGCTGACAGGTTAAACAACATTAAGGGCACACTCTCTGATGAGGCGGTTGATGAGATTAAAGTATCTGGCAGACAAACTGGCGATGTATGCTTTTGAGTGGTTTGTCTTAGGCTAGTGGGTTTTTTCTTCTGCCAGTTGATGTTTGAATTTCCATGACTAAGGAATCTAAAAGCTCATCTAATCAGCAGACACGCTGCTATCACCCCATAGACGAACTGGAAGAATATCCAGTTTGTTTCCCACCACCTAAAGAGTCTTTTTGGTAGAAGAGAAGTCGTTTCTGTGTTTCACAACCGTCTTGTTAGTTTGTTTCTGTCGTGTTTCACACGTTGAAGGAAGCAACAGTAACTTCAGTGGAGCTTTACAGAAACACCTGAACAATAGAACGTAATAGTGACTCATTTGGATGGCTTGCTGAAATTCATTATTCACAATCCTCTACCTGAAACTACCCTGGAGCTCCCAGGAACCGAGGCACCACGTCAACGACTTTGGTTTGCAGCTCAGTGACTTCTCACCAGAAATGTTTGGCATTTAACGCCCGCATCAGGCTCCAACGAGTGGATAGGAGACGATTGTTGATTCAAGTTAAGGATTTTAATAGTTTGTCAAAAGAAAAGAGGAAAAGAAAACAATTTGTGCCATAAGTAATACAATGGGTCATGATGTGAAGAGGCCCAAGTCGACGCTAATGAAGGAAACACCAAGATACTTGAAAAAACCTGGAAAAAGAATCAAATGAACCACTGAATGGACTTTTGCTTTCTGCAGGAATACCTTAGAGAAATGTGAAGCTGACTTGGTTTGACTTTTGGACTTTTTATGTAAAGTGATCAATGTGTCAACATGAAGTTAGCTTTCCCTGGCTTCTGGTGAATTTTTATTTTTGTAAGCCTTGGCTTAAATTATCTGGGTTACAGGCTTGTGGAAACCGTGGACAAGCAAAAATTGCATCATATGTTTATCTTTCCCACACTGCCCCCTCATGCATTCATTCACATAAATGTGCCCACATACTCACCGTTTTCCAAGCGTTCAGTTTGTCAAGCGTTCAGTTTGTGAATACTGACGCATGGCATATTGTAATAGATGCTTGTAGTAGGAATTAATCAGCTTATATTAAGGCAACACAATCAGTAATACCTGTGGTTTCTCTCTGCCCAGTGATCGCTTTATGACCACTGTGCAGAAAATGTAAGAAAAAAAGAGTAAAAAAATGATCAGTAGTAGTGACCTAATCATTCTGTACCTCATAACTTAAGACATACCTACAGATATCACATGTTGGAGCAGGGATACGTCTAAAAGTTCTAGGACAGTATTTCTTGAGGACTGGAGTTGGAGACCCTCTTACTGAACTTGTTTTTTTCTCGCTAAACTTTTTTTTCAGTTTGAGTGTCGTGAAACTCGTAGAAGTGAATCATTTAAGACTGTAAGTGGTGTGTTATGTCAATGGAAGATGTAAGCAGGGGATTTAAAACTCAGTTCCTGGCTGTTGTTGAGCATGAGATCAAAAGTATAAACAAACAAAAGTATGTTGGCTGCAGTGGAATAGATAAACCTTTGAGTTTGTGAGGATTACCAGCCTCATCTCTCCTGTTGGCACCAAAAATAAACGTTTCTCACCTAGCGTGTGACAAGATGTCCTGTAAAAACCAGACAACATTCTTTTAGACCCCATTAACTCCTCCATTAACATTTTCAGAAGCAGGCCTCTTTTTTTTTCCAGGGGTAGTATTATGTAAAGTAGACTCGTATTATGTTAGCTTTACATTATGTTATTGTGAAGTTACTCCATGTTATCAAAAACCTACATGGAGTGTTAGATTTTTTTCATGCATGTTTGAGAAATCCTTGAAATTTTAAAGAGATAGAGATTTCAAGGCGTTAAATTATAAAGTCAAATTTCTTTCAAGTCATATTAGATGTATGTAGTATTTTTATAGCAACTGAAGTTAATATAGTTATTTCAATGCGCTATAAAATAGTACTATGTGCCTGGAAAACTCATAATACTTCCCCTTTTTAAACTTTTTATTGCTTCCTCAGATCTATTTTTATTTTTTTTTTGTCTCCCCGTTTGTACCATCGTATTTTTTCATCGCCCCTCCCACCACCGCAGCAAGGGGACATGAAAGATGGCCCCCGTGTCACTAGCAGTACAATATGATGTACGAGAGTGGCAGTACGTGAGAGAGGCGGCGGGGGGGGGAGCAAGATGAAGAATGGTGGGGTGGAGGCCTCGTGGCCGTGAGATCCAGAAGGTTAATGGCATCGGCGGGAGGGGAGCCCGGTTGGAGGAGCAGCACGCCGCTTCGTTTATGCGCTATAGTTGGCACCCGCTACACTAACTAGATGCGTTTTCTGATCATCAAGGCAGCCAAGCCTGCCAGCCCTATCCCCTTTCTGGGCTTTTTATCAGCGGTAAAGCAGGTAGGAGTGATATGCGGCCCAAAACGAGTGGGAAGAAAGCGTGGATGTAATCTGGAGACTAGGCGTTCCGGGGTAAATGGGTTAATCGACTTGTCCTGTGCATCTCCTTTGTTTGTCAATAAGCCCAGCGGAGAGCTCTCTGAATAATTTATTGCTCCTGCCACCCTCCTTCCTTTTTCTTTCTCCCTCTCCCATCCCTGCTGAACAAGTGTTTGTGATGACATCAGCGAGAGGTAAACAGACGGCCCCTCGCCGTCGCCGTTGTTCATACGAACGGCTGCAGGCTGGATTATTGGAAGCAGGCGGGCGTGTTGCTTTGCTTGCGTTGAAGATTTATTGTAGTGTGGAAAAAAAAACACACACATTATAAATTCACTTTGTTGTTACCCCAACAAATCTGGACTAAAAAGGAACTCGTGCATAAACACACACACACACACACACACACACACACACACACACACATCTATAAATATCCCAACACAGAAACACTGTTTGTGTCTACTTACACAAACATACAGTAATTGAGGTTCCAGCACACTGTTTCCCCTCTATGCTGCTGCTGCTGCTGAGCAGAGCGGTTGTCATGAAAGGGACGGTGTGTGTGTGTGTGTGTGGCTGCCGGGAGGTAATTTGTTTTGACAGTGTCTCTTATGATGGCAAAAAGTGCAGGGTGGAGGTAATCACCCTTGCTTGCTGTCAATAAGTGATTTTAATTAGCGCAGCTCATTAGGCTGCCTCAGCAACATGCCCTGCTGACTGTGGTGGAGGTGTGTGTGTGCGTTTGTGAGTGGGGTGGAGGGGTGTGGGGGGTTGCTTTGTTTTCAACTCCCTCTGCTCTCTGTCTGGCTGGATGTTTATCACTTTCATGCCTCCTTATGTTTTAAGCTTAGCTTTTTGCCTGTCCATTCCAATTAGAGCTAGGATTAAATGGAATCATAGGGATTCAAAGTGAACTTATGGCATTTTCATAGATATACCGATTATCCGATTCGTCACTTGTTGAGTGAGCGAAGGTGGTGGGGGTGGGAGAAAGTGTTTTATCGGGTCTGTTTCCTGTAGAAAGGAGGAATAGGGAGGAAGGAGAAACGGAGCTTGTGCAAATGAATAATTTATAGTGGATTCCTGGAATTGTTTGCCAAGGTGATGATGGTCGATCTGTCTCAAAGCCAAAACAAACTGAGTAGGAGAACACACACACACACACACACACACACCCACGCTCAGGAGAGTTTGATGAGGTTACTCGGGGCTGCGAGACGTGCTTTATTTTGATAGCAAGGCCGGAGAAGTTGGTGAAGGAGTGTTGCACTATTATTGTTTGGGGTGTATGTTTCCTAACTGGCTGGTGTTAGGATTCAAACAGAGGAATGTTATCTGTCATAAATACTCTGCTTCCATAGGTTTCCCTGCAGAAATGTTGCTTCTATCTCTGCATATTGGCTCTAACTAAATTGTCACGCACATGCAAAATGCTCCTCATGCATTCGTAATGAACAAGGTACCTCTAAGTGGCTCTTTCTTCCTCTTGCCCTGGCTGAGAAGATAATTCCCAAACAGCCATCTCTGCCTCCTCATCATATGCCACTTGTTTTTCTCGCCAATTGAATCCTCGTCAGAGACTCGGCTCTCCACTCGGGGGGCTAATGCCTGGAGCGACAAACAGCCAAACGGCTTTCAACGCGCCATTGACAGAGGGATGCGGTGGAGAGAGCGGGCCTCTCCAAGCTCTGGTGCTCCTAGACAACGCTGAGTACCTGTAATTGTGGAGCTGCAGTGAAAAGCTTCAGCTGGCTCAAAGGCCTCTGTTTCCAGCGGCTTTAAGTGACTATAAACCTGTCTCTGCTGCTGAAAGCTCTGTGGAAAAATGGTTACTTCAAAAAAAAAAAAAAATGAAGCGGTCCTGTTTTGGCTTCTGTAAGCCCACAGCGGGTGTTTTCTGCATGTTCATGTTTAGCTGACAGGAATCTGTCCAAACACACTTGTCCTCATTACCCTCACTGGGTGAACAGGGGAACGAAATCGGGAAAGGATGAAGAAAATAGTGCATTTAAGTGCATCGACACCTTCTATTTAAAGCCACATGTGGAGGTGGGCAGTATGGACTTGGCATCTTATTTAATTGAACTATTATGACCATCATAAAGATTACAATTAAAAATTATTTTTTAGGTAACTATGTTTGTGACTGCATGGCACAGCAATCGTAGTGCCACAAACACAAATATTATCCTTGAAAAATATTCCCATTTGAAATGGGCTTTTTCATTTGTCCACTTAGTGCGATTCTTATCACTAAACTGCACACAGTAACTGCATTTTATCATATTTTCAAAGTCACTGATATTTATTGATACATAAACAGTGGACAAAATAACAAATATGACATTTCTTATCATACTGCCGACTTCCTCTTGTATTTACCGTCAGTAAGTGAAATCTTATTGACGAATCAAAATTCTTACCACTCTTATCCCCAGATGAGTTTTGGGCTGAAGTCACTATCATGGTCAAACGTTTTCAGAACATTTAGCTACAAAGAAGGAGCTATTTTTTTTTTTTTCCACATTACTCCAGCTCTTTTCTCTGCCACACTGCCCGATAATGCATTCAACAAAAAACGGCGGAGTGCAGCGCCTGAATTCCACGGATGTTTCTGGCCTCAAACGGTGGCCCTGAAGTGGTGATTGGCTGTGAGCAAATGGATGCCTTTGTGTGTAATGCAGTTGCGTTAATAGCCAAGTGCATCAGCATACAGCTGTTTCTACAAGCCCTGTGCTGCTCCCCCTGCAGCCATTTCCAGGCAAGTGGCGTAACACTGAAACACACTCACCCTGCCAGTGTCATTTTATACCCCCCCCCCCCCCGGTCCCCCGCCCCTCCGAAACCCCCGGTAATGATGATGCTTTATGAGTCTCCAAAGAGTCCCCCACCCTTCCTCCATGTCAGCTCACCATCCGCCTGCACCCCCTCCTCACCCGCCTCCGCATTCCCAGTTATCCCTCATTAATTTCCCGTGCCGATCAGATCGACAGGCTGAAAATTCAATTTAATGACCTGCCTCTGTGCTGCTCCTAATATGATTTTACAGGCTGTTCTGGTCAGAGCCCCTCAGCCCAATTTACATAACGATAAGCCGTGCCAGATAGCGTTGCCCCGGCAACAGAAGAGAGGAGGAGAAAGGAAGAGGAAGGGCATAGAAGAGAGGAGTGGAATTAGCATGAAGGGGGTGTGAAGAAGCTTTGGGAGGGAGAAAGCGCCGTCCGTTTGAGGTCAAACAGGGGTTGTGAGATAAATCCTGACAGGACAGCAAAGGTCTGCCTCTCTCCTCCCTCCCCTCTTCGTCTCCTGCTCCCCCTGAAAATGAAAAGGGTGACAGAGGTTTTCCAGAAAGCGACTGGCACCTCCTGTCTCTCTCCCTTTTCACATTCAAACAAGGTTAAGGAGTAAATGAGTGGAATGCAGCGGCGTCCAAAATGGCGGGAAGGACCTCTTCAACCCACACACACCTGCTGGTCCTCCACCCCTAATCTCTCAGAATCAATTAGTTCACCTCCCCTGGTTCAGTCAAACCGCATTACCTTAGTGTCAAATCAGAGGATTTCTCTCCTCCATTCATCGCCGCTTCCACCCCCGTTCACTCCGCTTCCCACTTTTGTGTTCCTCTTGTGCTCCTCGACTCTGCGGAAAGTGCAGGATTTAAAAAGGGAAATTGGCTCGGGCAAAATGTCATGGGACCTCCGAGTGCAGTAAGACGGGCAGCGCAGCGTATCCATTTGCCCAAATGCGGCGCTGTAAAGTGCATTATGTACATTGAGCCCCCGCAGTATCAGCTTACTCTGCCGGCTAATATTATGTGGTCGATACCAAAGATGGCTCTGATAGATAGGGCTGGAGAGTTAACCTGTCTGCTTCAGCGTGCCCTCTCCCTCTCCCCCTCTCTCTTTATAGGCCGTAATTATGAAGTATGGACCTCATTAGGCTCTCTCCAGCCAGATGGTATTAGCATATTTCAGCCTCCTAATGAAATAAAGACTTGAGCTTAATGGAAGTATCGCAGAGGAGGGGGGGAAGTAAATTTGTTCTTGGGCGGTCCCAATTTAGTTAGAAATACAATTTGGTTAGAAAGTGCATGTTTTACCCAGATGGACGCTGCAAACAGTTTGGTTTTATAGGTAATTAAACTGCTCAGTCTGTTGGTGCATGCGACGCATCACAAGTGTGCTCTTCTAATATTTTCTTTCTTCTCTCCTGCAGACGGAAATTGCCAAACGCCTCAATGCAATTCTGGCTCAGATCATGCCGTTCTTGTCACAAGAGGTGAGTTTTAGCCGTGGAAGCCGCACCTTAAAGGAAACAAGTTAGTTTCTGTCATGCCAAACATGAAGAATTCAAAACATTAAAACAGAGGAGGCTGTTGCTTGGAGCTGATTGGTTGCTTGTTGTAGCATCTTCCAAAAGATTACGTTTTAACAGAGGTGGGTAGAGAACCCAAAAATCGTACTCAAGTATGAGTAGCACTACTTCAGCATGTTGTTTCTCAAGTGAAAGTTAAAAAGTAGCCGTCCAAGATATTACTCAAGTAAGAGCAGAAAAGTATTTGGTAAAAATGAAACTCTAGCACTCTAGTAACTGATTAAAATGGCAATAATTTAATATTTTAAGATTGCATCTTCAGACAGACCAAAGTATAAAATTATCAAGCTCAAAATGAAAATAATTCATTACAAAATAACAAAACCAGGCAAAAGGAAAAAAAAATCCAAATTAGTTTCTTTCAGTATCAGTATAAACATTGTTCATTTATCGTGACAGCGGTCAAATCAAAATCGTAAATGTATCACAATAAATGATGAACAATAATAAATAAATGCCCAGTCCTAGTACAGAGTAGTAAAAATGCTCCTAAAAGTAAATTTTTTCCCCAAACATAACTAGTTCTACTCAACTCTGATTATTAATTTTACTGTTCTGACCTCAGTTTATTCCCACCTGGGTTTACTTTTATGCATGCCCTTTACATTTAAGCACATATTACAGACTTTTCTTCCCGGTTTTAAGGCGGAGTGAAGGGTCTATTTTCTACTTGGAGAAGCAGCAGGCGTCTGAATGTGTTCTTTTTAGCTGAACTCTTCTCCATGTCGTGTCTGATCTTTTGTGTTTGTGTCCTGCAGCATCAACAGCAGGTGGCTCAAGCTGTTGAGAGGGCTAAGCAGGTGACAATGACTGAGCTGAATGCTATCATCGGGGTACGTGGACTTCCCAATCTGCCTCTGACTGTGTGTATACCCCCTCTTCTTCTTTCAATTAACCCAGAAGCAGGGACAAAACTGCATTCACAGAGGAGGAGCGGCACTTCTCATACATTTATCGACCTCTAAAGGGCGCTACATTATGGCTTTGGATTAATTTCAACCCCATCTTCATCTGAAGGGCTACATTTAAGAGAAATCCTGAAAAGGAGGTCTAATCTGGTAGAAAAAATTTGAATAATTGATAAAAATCTGCAGCAGTGTTGCCGTTTCTGTTTATTTTTAAGCTGTGCCACGGTCCTTTCACTTGTGCAGACTTGTCCCTGTCTTGAGTGGTTTATTAATTTTAGAGCACAAAATGTTTGCCATGATCTGTCAATGTGGTGTTCACCGCTGTAATTTCTCTGATTGTTGCCATTTTCAGCTCATAGGGAGTCGCTCCACAGTGAGCCTCTGCTCTGAAGCGGTCTTCCAGCTGGGATCAGATTATAGAGTTCCTCACATTTCACTTTGCTTGCTCTTTAATTACATGAAGGTTTTCAGCCAACTGGCTTACCTTTACCTCTGGACCAGAGAATTAAAGTGTTCAGGTCAGGACTAAGTTTGGGATTGCAGTCGAGATAGCAGGGACTGTGCAGGCGTTGAACATCTGTAAAATAGATGGGATTAAAGTTCAGGTTACGCAGAACGACCCAGTGTGGAGAGCAGGGACGTCTCCTGTCGGTCGCACTTGTGAGAAATCTCAATTTACTTGATGGTTTGTACAGCTGTGGGTCTAACATTTACAAGATTTAATGTTTCTTCTGTTCCAGGTTTACAATTATGGTTTAACTGACCTGTGAAGTAAATCCAGTCTTTTGATTTTCCAGGTTTTTGATCAGACAACCTCAAACGTTTTATCTAAAATGTTGTTGGTTGTAGCTTTTCTCACTGTTATTTACAATACAGAAAAACATCTGGCTTTCCATAGGACTGGAGTTTATTATCAAAAACTTTGAACCAAATGAGACCAAAACAGTTACTGACCTTTAGTTTCCACTAAATGACGTTCACTTTCAGATATGTAGGCTTTAGATTAGCTCCGGTTTTATTTGAAGGTTGAAATCTGAGCGGCTGCAGCGCGGACTGCACACAACAAAGCAGACACCGAGAAATTGTTCTGCCCTCTTCTCCGTTTTCTAGCCAGAGGCGACACATGATTGAATCTTATTCGACAAGTGTCAGAGGTGCTGCATCATTTGCATGCTCCTACCTTCATTTCCATAAGTCCTACATTAAACAAGATAGTATCTGGATACTGGTTGACGCGGCAGCTACAGGTGGTGTGCTGCTCTTCACATGTCATGTAAATACTAATCGGTGGGAGATGGCACAAACCTCTACACCTGGCTGCTTTTAATATCACTACGGCTCATTTGCTTACCACGATGGCCTCTTCTTTACATGTTTTGTTTGGATATATCTACACTAGTTTTTTTTTTTTTTAAGTTTTTTTTTTTTTTTTTTAAGTTTTTTTTAGTTTTTTAAGTGTGCTAGAATTTTATCTTTAAGGTGCAACCAGTTGGATGAGTTTTTTTCTACTGCTTAACAATTAAAATAAGTTAACTTTTTTTTAATACAGAAAAGCAACTGAGAATCTGATAATGCAAATGACCAACAGGTTTATTTCTGTTGTGGCTCAATTCTCCCCATCGCACTCATAGTGTCTGCTTAGTTGGTCTGCGGTCGGCTTTCTAGGGTTGCTTGTTTCTGTGATCCCTTTAAAGGGAAAGTAAAATTCAACTTGGATTGTTTCTGTTCTTTCCTTTTCATCCGGCCAACATGGATGCCACAGATTCTCCAGAACCTTTGCTGCCAAGCTGGAATATCTTTGTCCTTCCTCTCGGCCCCATTTGTTGTTTTTAAAATATCTTGCGGTCTAAATTTCTTTTCTTTCGATGACTGAAGAAATGCTGATGAGCTGCAGAACCTGTTGTAAGCCACAGTGGGTAATGCGGCGATCATTGCCAGACTTATTAAGCCAGTCTGCCAGCTGGTTTGTGCCGGGTTCTGTTGATGCTTGTTCCACCTGACAGTACTGTTCTGCAGGGAGCCAGCTTCGCCTAGTTAACTTTAATTGCCTGTTTCCTGTGGAAGTTGCCAGAGCTGCAGCAGCATTTACACATAATGAAAAAAGATACGTGTGAAAGAGAGCTAGCTCTTTATCCATGAATATTGAATTGGAAGCAATTTATTTTCTGAAAATTTCCCCCTCCCCATTTTTTTCTCCTTTTCTCCCTCTCTCTCTCTCTCGCCCCTCATGACTTCCCTCCCTCGCCTCTCTTCTCCTCAGTCATAGCACGCTAATGAGGCTTCTTGATAATGATCCCTGCACGCTTTTCCTCATTAGGCACACTCAATAGGGACGTCCCTGCCTCAATCCCTCGCCCACTCTCTCTTTTATTCTCTTGTTATTTTTGTGATTCTGCCTCTCCTTCCTCGTCTTGTTCTGGCTGCCCTTTCCTTTCTCGTTTTCTTTCTTTTCTTTTTTTCTTCTGCTCGCCTTTCCGCTTTTCGCAAGAAACGGGCAGCTCTGCTCACCGGTGCAAAAATCGATTAAGAATGCTGGCCCTTATTTGCTTGCATCCATCTGACGGGTCCAGGTCTAGCGTGACATAATGGGTCGACTGAATAATGGCCAGCTGTTAAATAGACTTTTGAATGTGGTAACCCACCCCATGTACTTTGGTCTACTTTCTCCATTTTGTATAATGAATGTATGGATCAAGTTATTGGAGTTCTATCTTGCAAGCAGAGAGCCAATCTTTTTTTTTTTTTTTCCCCCTCGCTTTTTGAAGAGGCAGTTGATGGATGTGCTAAGTGTTATTTAACCTTGTTTTAAAGCACTTGCTTCCCTCTTGCCTGAGTGGCTATTTAACTCCTGTCTATCTACTCTCTTGGCTCTGACTGCCTCTCACAGACATTCATGGCCTCTTGGGAGACGTGTGTGTGCTCTCCACTGTCTTCTGCTTAGTGGTATTTTGCTGAGGCGGGGCATGCTGGCTTGGTTTTCCAGAGTGTTGAAAGGATTTGAGGCTTTCAAGAGCAGACCTATTGATTTTTTTCTTCTTCTTCTTTTTGTCCCAGTTATGATTGAAGCAGTTTGGGACTGAGCATAGCCGTTTGGTACCGTATCTGGTGGCCAGAGGTAATATGATGTTCAATCAAAACATAGCTGATTGAAGGTCATGCACGATCACAGAAAAAAATGGGACAAACATGAAAGTCGCTGGTATGTGAGGACAGGATGTAAAGAAAAACCAGTCCTCTACAATAAACCAAGTCAAGAAATCATCATTGTTCATCTGGATGAAAACAAAGATATTTCAGTCTGATTTAATGTAGGTCTGAACTGAAATATTTCATATCTCTAAACAAACCATCTTGCGCCCATGTTGTGAGCCATTGTTTATCTGATTTTCTCTTGGCAGCTTTAGTATTTCTGGAGAAAAAGCTCAAATGATTTGGTCTAGTTGGCTGTTTTTTTTTTTTTTTTAAAGGATTTATATGGCACCTTGTTTCCTTAGATTCTGGTTGTAACAGCTGTTTGGGGCAGTATAAATTATGATTGACTGACTGCTGATGAAACCAAAATAACTCGCCTTCATCTCCTGCTGGTTGCTGTGATTTATTGGAGTCACATAACTACATTCCCTTCCAGCAGAGTGGGAGTGGAGTTTAGAAAATAGCTTAATCATTTTTTTGACAATGCCTCATGGTCTTTTTCATAATGGGAAAGGTGAGTCAGAAAAAAAAAACAAACTCCAAAAGCAGAAAATGATGAAGTGTTGATCAGATTATTAAACAACTTCAGGTCTTTTTTTTTTCAGTTTGAGTCAGAAAAACATCTTGAATCTCAGGGGATGTTGGATAAAATGTCATCATTACACACAAGTTCAAACTTGTTAACTGTCACATTGACTAATGTAGACTTGAACACTAAAGAGTTGACAAATGTTGCTGATGTCCAAAAATAAAATATTCAGTTTTCAGTTTCTGCGGTTTGATGTTGGTTTATTATTAATGTAGCATTTGACACCGCAGGTTTAAATTAACTTAGAACTCACACAATTTGGTTTATGATATCTTTTTAATTACAACTAATATTTAAGTATAATATTTATGTATTAGTTTACCCTTAGCTATCAAGTAAACATGAATTTGTTTTAATATGGGAGCATGAATAGCACTGCTTCCTCCTGCTGTCACATTTCAGCTACCATGCTGCACAACTGGAAAGTATAACACAGAGGTTTTGGAGTGAATGTACTCCAAATGATTGAGCCAAATGATTCATTGAACACATGAAAACGGTTCTGTCCCTCAGACAGCAGGTCAGCAGCAGCAGCAGCAGTGAGCCAGCACTGCATGTTGATCCACAGCTAAATCCAGATTGTTTGGCTTTGAGCAGAAATGTCTCCAAAGCCAGCCTGGGCAGAGCACGGTCACTCATAAAGGAGTCATTTCCCAGCTGACCCACTTGTCCTTTGTCTCGTCTCCTGTCTCTCTGTGTTTGTTTACAGCAGCAGCAGCTTCAGGCCCAGCACCTCTCTCATGCTGCCCACGGCCCCCCGGTCCAGCTGCCCCCTCACCCCTCAGGCCTGCAGCCGCCTGGCCTCCCCCCGGTGACAGGTGCTGGATCCGGTTTGCTGGCTCTGGGCGCTCTTGGCAGCCAGACCCACCTGCCTGTGAAGGATGAGAAGAACCACCACGACCTGGAGCACCGAGGTGAGGAGCACAGCCTGCCACACAAACAGCCTGCAGCACTTCACTGCTGCTGACAGGAGCGCATTCTACCGGCTTCATTATATTCCATCCAATAAACACTGTTTTCAAGGCACTGCAGACAGAGCTACTGTGAGGGAAAATGTTGTGTTTTAGCAGATATCCTTCTTAATGTAGGGGTGGGCATTTAAAATATTTTTAAAAATACCTCACTGTTCTCCACTGTTTGTTCAATGAGAGTATCAAAACATCCGAAGTGTGATTAAATGCATGTTTAGTTTAGTGCTTAAAGACCATATCGCCCATCTTTACCTTATTGTTCTGTTTTAATGTGAAAAGAGGTTAAACAAATAACAGGAAAGTAGAAAAATAAAAACTAATATATATAAAATGTTATAGGATGCTTTGTTTAAATGCTGCTTCCTTTGGTCTCCATGGCATCAAAAAGTAAATTTTTGGTCGTTAAAACTCTCTCTGAAAGCGTTTCCTCTTGAGCACGTTGTAGCTAACCTGATGGGTTACACCATTCATTTGATTGCTGCTCTTTGATTGCAGTCTTTGTTGCCCTCCCATACTAATTTGTGTTTTGCTTTCCTCCCTCTTGGCCCCTCATCTTTTCACTCGCCTCTGGCCATTCCTCTGAAAGAACGCGAGTCCAGCACGGTATGTTGACTCTACGACTCTCCGTCCTCCTGTGTGTCTGTCTGTCTGTCTGTCTCCGACTCACTCTGCTGCTCGCTCATCATGTTTGGTCATTAGGTGTACTTAATGTAGACCTGAGCTCACCGTTCAATAGACATTCATGCTGTCTGTGTAAGAACACACACATTTTCATGTTCGGGAGGGGGGGGGGGGTACGGTGCCTGAATCCAAATGACTTCTGGCTAAATAAGCCACTGCCTTCTAATCCAGGTGGAAAATGATTCCAATCACTGGACGAGGATTAGTAGTCTGCTACCTCCTTTAATTTCAGCACAATTAAAAGTGACTTTGACTCGCCTTCCGTTTCTACTTTAGAGGATTTACCATTACAAGAGTCCTTGTCGTAGCTCGTTGTTGTTATTCCTCGTTCAGTAAACATTGTATTTCTCTGCTGCCTTCCTCTTCCTGGTGTTTGGTACCTTCTCATCACTTTGTCCTCTCTTTCCTCGTCTTGTGTCGTCCCCATCTCTCCATCTCTTCTCATGTTAAAGTCCTTGTTTTATCAGACTGGTCTAAAGCTCTCAGTTAGCTGGAGTGTAACGCTCTGTTGGATCTGCTCAAACAGATTAAGTTCCCATTGACTGGCCATCCTGAATGGGCTCACTCATGTCAGAAGGAAACCCTACCCCCCCTCCACCTTCTCATTTGGTGACAAGCGGCTGCAGTACCACCTTACCTGCTCTCTCAGCCAGCCTCTACTCCCTCTTTTTGTTCACGCACACACACACACACCCACACACACACACAAGGTCTTCCTGTTCTGTTGTCTCAGGTCATCTGATACCACAGTTAAAGGGAAGTGCAGGGTTACTGAGACTAAGCAATCTTTGAAAGGCCTCCGGCTCAGATCCAGACGGGCTGTAATACTGTAGGAGACAGCATCTCGCCAAGCTAGACTGGTGGCTTTGTTTTTGCAGCAGGAGCTGAACGCGCACCGGCCCGGTTTGACCTGAGGAGGAGGCAGAAAATTGGCCCAACTCATTTGGGAAAGCTCTCCTCCTTTATAAAGGCGGCTGCTACCCATTAGCTGCTCTACCTCGGTTTAATCCTCCATCTTTCTGATAACTGTTTCGATTTATTAAGTCGATTCACAACAAGAATTGACCTCTAGATGTGCTTACCCCACCTACCCACTCGTTGACCTTCAGTCTGCCTGGCAGGGCCGCTCCACCATCTCAGACAACAAAAACCCAGTTTGCAGCTTTTGAGAAAGTGCCAACGTGTCTGAACGTTCCCACTAGTGGGGGAGAACTCATGGCTTTACTGCTAGGCTGGTGTTGCTTGCCAAATTCCTTTCCTGATTTTAGTCTCTTGTCTCATCCTTCTTACCCCCCCTGCTAATTTTCTCACTCTGTCCCTGTCAGGACCCTTCTCTGCAGGCGGCACACTTTGTCTCGCCACATTGATCCTGCCCTGGATTCCTCAATGGTCTCTTTCTTTCCCCTTTTCTTAATCTGGTTCATTTTCTTGTCAGTCGCTTTGATTTTTTTGTTGTTTTGTAAACCTGTGTTGGGAATCCAGAGCAAGTTTGATTATAAAAAGTTCATCTAGTTTTCTACTGGCTTTTGCCCTGGCCGCAGTGGCAGTCCATAAAATTGTCAGGTTTTATTTAGAGTTCATGTTTTCTCTCCAGTTTGACTCGTGACGAGTCACCTTGCCAGTTAGTGTTTTTGTGGCTTTTTGGTTTTGCTCAGCTGCCTCGTCTGTTTCCTCTGTGCTCCAGTGCTTTGGCAGCAGCAACAGGACCGAGCTTTCCAAGAATCCTCTTCAACCCCCCCTTTTTTTTTATTCCAAATCAGTCCAGCAGCATTGTGCAGTTTGCTTTACTGTCAATATTATCGCTGACCCCACAAAGGAAAATACTACCTTCCCTTCATGATTGGTCATGAGCCGCATTTATGTCTTAAACATTAACAGCTGACATGCATGACACAGCGGCTCCGGTTTTGCTCTGCATTAGCGGCTCAGAGTCCAACATCTATGGAGAAATGTTGACACACTTTATCCACATTTGTTTTCCAAGAAGATTCTCAGTTGCATATTTGCTGAGGCTGTAAATCTATACTGTACACACAGTGTACCAGTGGATACTGATTTAAAACGAGCAGAGCATGCCAAGGTAACTCGATGAAAACACCAGTCTCATGCAGGCGTTGTCGTTGTGTTTGTGGCAGAATAACTCAGTGTCGCCATCAGACAGCCTGCGGGTATCGAGCGAGAAGCACCGCAGCTCTTCAGACTACGGCCTGGACTCCAAGAAACGCAAAGTGGATGACAAAGACAGCAACAGAGGATATGTGAGTGTTTTCGAAAAGCCGACTGTTTATTCAGGCTCTTTTATGAAATGTTCACCTTTCAGAAGACAAACTTACAATTTGGATTACTATATACTAGGGCTGGACAATATGGTTGAAGAACGTATTGTCTTCAATACGTTCGATACTTATTGATTAGTTGTTGTTTTTTTTTTGTTTTAAATCTCTGAAATGCATCCAGATTGGTTCATGCCCTTTCCTGTTTTATCCAGTTTTCATTCCACATAAATTTTTATTTTTAAGCAGTTATGAGGCGAAGCATTAAACTGCTGCTGCGCAAGTTACTCAACAAGTTGTTGCTAGGTGACCAAAGAGTGAGAGATTGTGTTGTCACCAGCGTTGCTTAGCCGGGTGTGAGGGGTAAAGCAGCTAAAGCCTTTCCTCTGCCTATATCCCCCAGAATCCATTGCAAGTCTGGATCAGAGTTCAGTGAAATTATTGGATATTCAATCAGACATATTATCTTCTGGTATTGATCACATGTCTATGGCAATATATATAGTTATTGATTTATTGTCCAGCCTTAATATCCATCTAAATAATGATGCGTTTTTGTGCATGTAGGTCAAATAAATCCCTTCCCACTAATGTTGCTCCTTTATTTCAGGACAGTGACGGAGAGAAAAGTGACGACCTGGTGGTGGACGTGTCCAACGAGGTAAGACGGGCGTTTAGCTGCTCAGCCACATTCTTAGACAGGAAGGCTGCAAAGAACCCAAACACAGCCCTCTTTTGTCTGTCCAAGCCTCAGCACCTTTCACTGTGTTGCCAAAACGTCTGACATAATATTGGTTGTGTGCTTTGAGACTGTTTACTTGGTGAATTTCCCTCTGCCATTCATGCAGAATATAAGACAAAGAACACAAAGAGAAAAGGGTGTGACAGGTGAATGAGAAGTGCATGCATATGTGTGAGGTGGGGGGTGCGGAGGGGAGCATGAGCATACATCGGGATATTTATCTGTGTTTGCACATGAGGCCCCATCTTGTTTGACCTACATGTAAATGCCAGTGGCTTTCCTCCGGCCTGTTTGCTCAGTCTTGCACTCCGTCCGTCTCGTTTAACTCTGCAGGACCCAGCCACCCCTCGAGTCAGCCCCGCCCATTCCCCTCCGGAAAACGGCCTGGATAAGTCCCGGGTGCTGAAGAAAGACGCCGCCCCCAACAGCCCCGCCTCCGTCGCGTCTTCGGGCAGCACGCCGTCGTCTAAGGCGAAGGACCACACCCATGTGAGTGTATCGGGATGATGAAACGAAGGGAGAAGGGAGGGCTATGGTGGAGGTGATGAAGCCTGAACCGACAGACTAAAGGAGCATTTGTCAAATGAAGTGGGTGGCTGTGTGAAAGAGTAATACGGAGGCTCCGGAGTTGGCTGCTGTGCAGGATTTGAGGGAGCAAAGGGGTGGACGTCTTCTCAGGAAATCAAACTCTATGGCTCAGTCCTATCAATCTCCTTTATGGCTTACCCAGTAAATGGTCATTTCTCCATTGCTCTGAGGCTGTAAATAACCCAGAGCCTCTGCAGAGGGACATGTGCTGTTTGTTCGCCGTGTCCATAATCTGCTCCTCTTCCATCCTTATAAGAACCGACATTTAGCCTGGCTTGAAATGTTTCATGACATACAGCATTTTGCTGAACATTGCTAAAGATAAACACGGTGAACATCTTACTACTTCCTCTTACCATCATTATAAAACCCAGTTTCTTTCAATCCCTTATTAACATTAACTGGCAAAGGATTAATAAATAATTATTTGGGCCAACATCTTCCATAAGTCCTGACAAGCTCAGCCTCTAAGCAAAAGTTTATTCCCTCATCCTGCCACACTATCACACACTCTCGACCACGGCTGTGACGAGCGCCCATGCTAGATTGGATTAACTCGAGCCGTCCGCTCAGATTGTCACTCTGGATTTTCCTGCCTGTGGGGTGTTTTCGACTCAAACTTTGGAAATGGACTAAATAGTTTCTCTGTTTCAGAACGACAAGTCGTCGACACCGAGCCTAAAGTCCAACACGCCTACACCGAGGAACGAGGCCCCCACACCGGGGACCAGCACGACGCCCGGACTGCGGCCTTTATCGATGGGAAAACCGCCCGGCATGGAGGCGCTAGGTAATTACTGACAAATCGGTTATTCTCCTCATTATTCACTATGTTGCCTTTAACAAAGCACTCTTTCTAACAAGCAAGTACACACAAGTTTCACTGTTAATGCTTGGAGAGAAAAAAAAAAATAAAATCTACTACAGTCTCACTATGTGGCTCCTGTGACCTTTCCTTTTACTGCCACAACAGTTTTACTGCACTAACACCCATAAAACTAAAACCTAGGCAGAGTTTAGTAATCAGTTAAAGGGCATTTCCTTCTCACCATCAGCTGCCCCGGCCCTCCGCACTCCCCTGTCGATCGCTGGTTCTTATGCCTCCCCATTTGCCATGATGGGTCATCATGAAATGAACGGATCGCTGACCAGCCCCGGCGTCTATCCGGGTCTCATCTCACCCCAGATGAGCGCTGCTGCAGCCGCTGCCTACGGACGGTCACCAATCGTAAGTCCCACAGGTTTCATGCTGAATTTTTCACCAAAGATGTAGAAAAAGAGATGCAACAAAGATCCTCCTCCAAACATCTGCACCGCCATAAAGTATTTGACTAAACACAGAGAAGCAACATTTAGTTTTATACCTCACTAATCCAGAACAAACTTAAGATCCACAGAAATTCCTACTTGTTTATAGGCCGTGGAGTACTTATTCTTATTCATATTACTAATCAAGAACAAACTTTAGAGCCAGAGAAACTCCTATTAGTTTAAATTGTGTAGAACTTTTCTTTTTTTTTTTTTTACCTTTTTGTCTTTCTTTTAGTTTTGTTGTTTTGTTGGTATTTCCTCCTAATTCATGTAAAGCACTTTGAACTGCTCTTCTGGCTGAAGTGTTTTACTTGTTTGTCAGACTTAATCTGCATAATTCAAGGGATTTTCCTGGAAATTATAGCTTGACAGTTCCTCAAGATTTAGGCGTCTAAATCTACAGATTTGTTTCTACTTGAAAATAAACTTAAGCTTATGTTATTTATTTATTTTTTTTGCAGGCAGGATTTGACCCCCATCCTCACATGCGAGCTCCAGGCCTGCCGGCCAGTCTCACCTCCATTTCAGGAGGAAAACCGTATGTTTACAGTTTTGCTTTCACTCTTTAACCAGCGTAGATTTTATTCCCAGAACTTGACTCTCCATCATCTCCGTTGTCGTTTCCAGAGCTTACTCTTTCCACGTGAGTGCGGACGGTCAGATGCAGCCCGTGCCCTTCCCTCCGGACGCTCTGATAGGCCCGGGCATCCCGCGCCACGCTCGTCAGATCAACACGCTCAGCCACGGCGAAGTGGTGTGCGCCGTCACCATCAGCAACCCCACGCGTCACGTCTACACTGGTGGAAAGGGCTGCGTCAAGATCTGGGACATCAGTCAGCCGGGCAGCAAGAGTCCCGTGTCCCAACTTGACTGCCTGGTAATCAGATGTTTTCACATTTTAAGATGGAGAAACTGAGTGGAGTTAGCCTTACTCTACATTTATTTCAGGATGTTCAGCCATAAGGGGATCCCAGTGTGCTAATGAGGTCTCAAAGTAATACATTAAGGCTTTTCTTGAGCATTAAATGTAGCCTGACTCTCCATCCCGCTACAGCTGTCCACAGATCCCAACAGATAGAGATGTGAATAATTCAGTAAAATGTCTCACTGCTGTGCTGAAATTATCCTTGGTGAAGGGGGAAAAAAAAAAAAACCCTGCTGAGTAATGATGTTCTGATTGGCCAACCCTGTCTGCCATTACGCAGCTCATTACTTTCTCCCAACTGCCTCCCGTTTCTCATTTTGACTCGGTGTCTTCATGCTGTTCAGCTCATATGGCCTCCTACACCCTTAAGGTGTGTCCAGAGTGCAGTTTGGTTTTATAAAGCCATCAGGGTGCCATTTTAATTTGACCAATAGCTTCTACGGTGCTGTTGATTTGTCTTTCTGCTCTTGCGGAGCCGGCAGCCCAACTGTCTCTCGTTAAAAGTTGACACTCACATCTTCACTAGATAAACTCAGCTGCCTCACCTGGTAAAAGAAAAGGTCTTAAAAGTGGATGTACTGCAATGTGTTGGTTTCTTTATGATTTTTTTTTCTCATTTGGAATTTCCACATGTATACAAATTTATTCCAACCATTTTCGTTCTTTTATCTTTTCCAGAACAGAGACAATTACATCCGCTCCTGCAAGCTGTTGCCCGACGGCCGCACCCTAATCGTCGGCGGCGAGGCGAGCACGCTGACCATCTGGGACCTGGCCTCGCAGACGCCCCGCATCAAGGCTGAGCTCACTTCCTCTGCTCCGGCCTGCTACGCTCTGGCCATCAGCCCCGATGCCAAGGTCTGCTTCTCCTGCTGCTCCGACGGAAACATCGCCGTGTGGGACCTCCATAACCAGACCCTGGTCAGGTCGGTACCTCGCTTAAACAGCTGTGTTTTGGACACAAGCCTGAGGGAAAACAAAACATTGCACCATGTTTTTTTTTTTTTTTTCAAAAGAAGGGCAAGAAATGTTTGGCAAATGTTGTATTGTCTAAATGGCAAATACAGTTTTTTTTTTTTTTTTTTTAAGTTTAAGAAAATAAACTTAAATTACTCAGACATACTTTTGATGCAGCTAATGCTGAAACGATTAATTGCAATGAATCGAAATAATCAACTAATTTTGTAATCAATTGTAATATACAGACAAATAATTTTTTTCAGAATTATGTTCTGGCAGAGTTTGGCTTCACCTGGTTGAAGCTTTGTTAAAAGAAAAATAAACTCCTATTAAGCACCTTTTCCAATCCAATTATTAACTGCTTAATCCAAAAAGCAGATCAGCAGGTTAGTCTTACACTGTATCGATGCAAAGTCGAGCAGAAAGGGGTTGAGCTTTTCACATGTTGATGGAAGTATTTTTTCAGCTGCAGACTCATCCTTTGCTACAATTTATGAAGCGTTCACTAAAGGAATGCTACGCTTCATTTTAGGGAATAAAATGTTTATTTGGTTTAAGTGAATGAATGAAATGAAAAATCTTTTTATCTGAATAAACAATTACTAAAATAGTTTAGTTGCAGCTCTAGATACATTCATGTCTTTTTTTCAGGCGGTGAAAGAAGGCATGTCTCACTTGTCTTCATGTGTTTTGCGCATTTCAGGCAGTTCCAGGGCCACACAGACGGAGCAAGCTGTATCGATATTTCCCACGACGGGACCAAACTGTGGACCGGAGGGCTCGACAACACGGTCCGCTCCTGGGATTTGAGGGAGGGCCGGCAGCTTCAGCAACACGACTTTACCTCACAGGTACAGCCTGGACAATTTGCATTTCCTGCAGAAATGCAGTGTGAATGCCGTCAGCTGAATATCTTTAGTGAAAATTGCAGAAGCGTTTAAAGTCAACTGCAGAAGACTTGCAGAAATGTAAAAAGCAGGTAGAAGCTTGCAAAAGGCAGATAGAAAAACTATAGAAGAGTGAAAACTTCCTGTAAATGCTAAGATCCCATCCAGAGTATTAAAAGTTCACACAGAACACTGTTTACAAAGCTAAACTGTAAGGTCACAACAGTTTATGAGCTAATATGAGGCATAAGGCTGAAACACTATCAATTGTCTACAGGTTAGCACTAGCATGTTTTCTAACGTTGACTAAATTTAGTAGATTTTTATAAAATGTAGTCAAAAATAAGGGTTATTATTTAATTGTATTTTGTTGCAGATCTTCTCATTGGGCTACTGTCCCACTGGAGAATGGCTGGCTGTGGGGATGGAGAGCAGCAACGTGGAAGTACTCCACCACACCAAGCCTGACAAGTACCAGCTGCATCTACATGAGAGCTGCGTCCTCTCACTCAAGTTTGCCTACTGTGGTAAGTGACCTGCAAAGAGCTGGACAAAGTCCTATGGCGAAGGACAATCTTTAAATATCCAGAAGCAAACTGTTGATGGACGTATTTACAAATTAAAACCTCCAACCCAAAACTCTACTCAGAGCCTGCACTAATATAGCTGGTTGTTCAAATCATAAGTTAACAGTTTCTTTCCCCTCAGCTTTGTACTTTTGCTTTTATATATAAAATGTTAACATGCAGCATTCAGTGTCACAATTCAGAAAATGAACATTTTATGGATTCATAAGGGTGAAATATTTCAAGCCTCCATTTCTTTTAACTTTGATTATGACTTTCAGATAATGAATACTCTTAAAAGGTTACAGCATATTCATAAAAAAGTATAGTGGAAGAAAAATATGCACCAGCAACAGGGATTATAGCACCATTGACTGATTGTTGAGCAAAATATATTCAAGAATACATCTTTAAGACCAAACACTAGATGAGATAAAAGCATGAAATATTTTACTATTTAAGGAATCTCTACAAAATGAAGGCTTCATTTTCTGAGACTGGTGAGGAATATTGTACTTTTATAGATTAAATAAATAAATAAAAAATTGTACATCGTCAGACAAATTCTGAGGTTGAATTGATCAGGTTACAGCAACACATTGCATTTGTCCATGCATGCAGCAGACTGTAGCTGGGTGGAAGATGGGGAAAAAACGCTGAATACCTGAATTTGAAGATATTGATAATTTTATGTGAGCAATCAGTCCAGAGTTTTAATAGTCTCTTCATTATCTGGCAGCACAGGGAAGACTTCAAAACCTCTAATAACAAAGGGAGATGATTCTGTACAATTTTACTTTTAATGAGCTGTAAATTACACCAGTTTCCAGACAGCAGTGGGCTCATGGTGGTTTAAGTGTCACTTCCCTGATGTGCGTAGGGCTAGTGGTTAAAAATTTCAAACAATGATCATTTAACAGCAAATCAAGCGCTTCGAAAATGTTCTTTCGCATTAATTTATCCTCAGAAATCAATGAGCACAGCCTCATCTCCTCCACCAGCAAACTGATTCATTCAAATGAGACCAAGGCTCTTAGTGTCACTGATTAAATCAGCAGCCAGCTAGCGAGTTGGTTAATTAATCAGAGGGTCATTTGAATAATTAACTGGGTTAGAGCTGCAAGTCTCCTTCATTATGTGTTTTATGATTGTTGATGAGGTAATTAAAGTGGCATATTTAAAACGGTTCCAGTTGCTCCGTTACGTCTGCGAGGACCCTTACCTGCAGTGTGTGTTAAAGGCGTCTCCTCTGTGCCTGTAGGTAAATGGTTCGTGAGCACGGGGAAGGACAACCTGCTGAACGCGTGGAGGACTCCGTACGGTGCCAGCATTTTCCAGGTGATGATCGCAGATCTGTAATATCTGACCGAACGCTGCTAAATCAATACAACCGCATGAAAAGCATTAGTGCCTTAGTTACATGTTATTACCCTGAAACAAAGAAAACGGCACCACAGCTATTTCAGACGGAGATCGATGGGGTTAAAGGTTTCTCGGATCGGCGCGGTCTGCGTAAATAAACCAGCTGTTTGTGATGTTTTAGTGACGACTGAAAAATGAAGTGAATGAATATGTGGCGCCAACGGTGAACAGGAGTCACTCGCACTGAAATTTAGTGTTTGCTTGGCAAACCAGTTTAACCTTGACGATACGTCACGATGGGCAAACTAAACGTTTCGACTGTTTGTGTTTACTTCCAGTCGAAGGAGTCGTCGTCCGTCCTGAGCTGCGACATTTCTGCAGATGACAAATACATCGTGACAGGATCTGGTGACAAGAAGGCCACAGTCTACGAGGTCATCTACTGAGATTATTGTCCTGGTTTAACGTGGGCTGCAACAGAATGAAGCAAACTACATTTTTCTCTGACTTATTTTGGAAATCAGCTGTGCTGTTGGCCTGTGGAAATCATACTGCAAGGATTTTTTTTAATCCCTTGTTTTAGGGTTGTACATCTTTCTTTTTTTGGATGTGACGGGATGGAGCGGAGCTTCATCTCTGAGAAATTAATTCCTCAAAACATGTACATTGTGTACATACTGGATTAAATAAGACATTTTATATATTATAAAAGTATATATATATATATTTTCATGTCCTGGGTGTACTTGTGACCATTGTTTTGGTCGCTCTGGTCTGAGAGAGACCAGAACACGGACTGAAACTTTTTCAACCATCACACCCTGATCGTTTTCTAAAGCACATTCTGCAGGCTGATCTTTCCAGGAATCAAACAGAGGAGCCTGAATCTTGCAATGTTGAACATTTCATGGAGAATTTTTTTTTTTTTTAAATTAAAACCGGCCTTACGTCAGAACGCTCTTAAAGGACGAAGCGTGGTCGGATTCAGGCGGACCCTCCACTGGAACAAGTGGGATGTTGATTCAGGAGAAGAGACGGATGTAAATTTCCTTCCTGTATAAAGAACTGTACACGTGTCCTAATGTTCTGGTCTGTGTGTGCTTTCCCTGTTTTTGTTGATTGCCTGTGGCAGATGGGGGATGTTAAAGCTCAGTCTAACCCTTGGACCTCAGTTGGCAGCAGAAGCCACAAACTGAATGACTGTGTGCTTTTTTTTTTTTTTTTCCTCTAACTCGACGTTATACTGATCTCTCGCTGCTCCACTGGTTTCTATTCAAACTAAACTCCAAGCAGTCCGGTCCGTGCTGCTGGGATTCCTGTGCCCTTTGCATCCTACCGATATTCCTGGAATATGTGTATTTGGCTGTGATGGAGAGGAAGGCAGAGTCAGTCTGTCTTCACAGAAATGTTCAGTGCCTGTAAATGCTTTCAAGGACAGAGGGAAGCACACATGTAAACACATGCTGTAGTTAGCAAACGAAGCCGAGGGTAAATGCTTCTGGTTTGTTTTACCGTGCTTCTCATCCTGCCGGCATTTACAACTAAAGGGGCAAACTGCACCTCTGATTCACACCAAAGTATGTAGCAACTGCTGTCAGCACTGAAAATAAATGTACAGTTGTTAATGACTCAATAAAGCTGTTTTTTCTAGAAGGGCTCGCCTCTTTGTGGCTTTGAGCTGAGATTACTGACGAAGGCGACTTCTTTTGAGCCGATTATGGCCGACTCAACAGGTTTCTAGACTCAGACTAAGATAAAGTTCTGATTAAAAATCGCCTCGTTTTTTTTCCTACAGTTTTGCTCAAACTAGTGGGGTAAAGGTGTCTATCCAAAATCAAAACATGAATGGATTTACCTTTCCTGGGCTGATGGTTGCACAATGCTGCTCAGTTACTATTGTGTTTGGGCTAAAACACATTTTCTCTTCATAAAATGGCAACATAACCTTTTCAGTTATTTAAACTAACGCATATGACTTGTGGTGAGTAGATCCAACACCATATTAGGTAGATAGAGAAACATCCACAGCAGGAGATCTGAGCCACCATACTTTATAGTAACTGTGGCTTGAATTCATAGTTTTAGTAAAAATATTCACCACCAGGTCATTTTCTCACAGACAGGTGAGAGCATGGCTTCATGTACAGTACATGTACAGTAATCACTGTTGGCTTTAGACCTGGACTTAATCATCGGCTATTCAGCTATCCCAAAGATGAGTCTTAAATTTTCCTCCAAATACTTCTGCGTTTAAAATCAATTTAATTGAGCACTTTCTAAGCCTGTTTATACATTTCCCCATTCTCTAATTATCAAAGCACCCTGTTCTGAACAACCTGTTCTACCCAGATTTCCAGGGCGGAGCGCATCATGTACAGCATGTGCTGCCTTGTCTGTTAATAAGGCCCAAATGTTTGACTCCAATTTATGATCCAGCTGCGTGCATGTCACGACTGATGGGTTTTGATCAACTACCTGCAACTATTAGGAAATTATTCGCCACATAATTTCCGCCAAAACCGGACGGATCTGGTTCGAGACGTCCTTTTGCACACAGCTGTCCTGGCAGGAATCAGTTCTCGGTGTGAACGTCGCCAACATGGTGTCTGGTGGACCAAGCCGAAGTTCAGCGGAAAGAAAGTAAAGCGGGATTGTTTCGGCTCACCTCAGTGTGACGACCCAACTCCTGCGGACCTGCTGCACCGTTTCCATGGAGACGACAACATGGGCTTTGTTCGGCTCTGTGCAGCTTTGATCTGTTGGGGGGGATATTGAGAATGTTGGTGAGTTCATTGGTCAAGAACACAAGACGGATTTGAGACATGAGTTTCAGTCGACACAAACGCGTTACTGTCACCTGAACTGGTCACAGATAAACATCTTCACCTGTTCTTAGGTTGTTGTTTTTTTTTTATAAATACAAAAGTTCAATACAAAATTACGGCAGATAGTTTTGCTAAACGTGCGAACTATAAATATGACAAACCAAGACTCAATGACAGTAGGAACAAAAGGCTTTCACAGTAAAGATCAGTACACAAAACATTTGAAACAGCTGGCATTACATTGTAAAGACTTTCTCCCAATTTTTATAATAAACCCCAACATGGAATAACAACTGGTTAGACTATTTCAAAATGATAAGATATTCAGATATTTAATTAAAATGGAAATATAAATATTTTCATTTCTAGACATTTCATTGATTATTACAATGACATGGTAATTATTTTTACTATAGACATAAATACTGGAAATTAGTTGTTGGGTCTGATATTATTGTGACCACACATCAGACAACAGCAAATAAGAAATGAAAACATTTAAAACAATGGGAGCAGATTTAAAACAGTCATGCAAACGTTGCTTATAGTTTAGAAATTCAAAAGAAGAATTATATTAGATTCTATCTAGCAGAACTCTGATCATGCATGTTAGTTTGTTTTTCAGCTGAGAAGGGAAAACAGCAGGCGAGTTATATTACTTAGAACCCAGACTTCTACCTTTTCCCCACATTTAAAAAACTTAAATAAAACATGTCACCATCACATCGAGCACCAGGCGAGAAATCAAAATGCAGAAGAGGATTCCTTTACAAACTGAGAGGAACGCAAGAACTGCTAACTCACCGACCACTTGGCAAACATTTCAAGTGTCCGGTAACCCAAGCACTAGCAACATTTTTCCTCCAGACCCGTTTTAATTCTTTATGTCAAAGACAGAAGAAGGAATCTGAAACATCCTTCATTGAATTTGGTCCATATAGACAGAATAGAATCACAATTACAGCAGATTTGTCGGCTGCAACTTCCATAATGCAGCTCACCTGTTGAAGTGCAGTGAACCGGCCAACGTCGTCATATTCAACACGACATGAATATTAGATATTCCTATTGAGGTCGTGAACTCTGATCTTCATGATCTGATGCATTATATTGATGAAAACATCCATCACAAAATGGATCATCGATAAACGGATGTGGTTGACAACACGACTCGGAAACCAAAGTGCACCAAGAAAATATTCTCAATATCATCAAAGCCTGAACTGTTGATGCTCTTCTAATATAGTTTTAAAAAGTCTGCTTGGATGTAGATGAGAAGCATAATAATAATAATGCATGAAACAAAGCTAAACTCCTTATTCTCCCAGACACTTAGCAGGCTGACAGACAACAACCACCTGAAGTAACGAGACCTTTTTGTGCCTCAAAGATGAGTTTCCTAGTTTTTCCTGCTTCTGTTATAATATATATTTTTTTTATCGTTTCCTTTTTTGTATTTTCAAAAAGTTCAAATCAGAACCGGTTCTGGAAACCCAGAAGGGAGAGTCTGTGGTTTCAGGCTCGCTGACAGGAGTCTCAGTGGGAGGGATGAGACACGGCTACAGATCAGTGCGGTTGGCCAAACCACAATCACAAAGAGACACGGTGACTGATTACTCTTGCTTCACTTGAATCACACGAGCGGCAGAAACACATTCGGTCACACTCCCATTTCACACACTCCCACACACCTCAGGAGAAGACGCACCACTTTGGGCATTTGCGGCCGCGCGCCGATTTCAGAGGTGATCCTGCAACGTGATGTGTGGGTTAAAAAAAAAAATTAAAAAACAGTCTCCCTAAATCAGAAACATGCAAATAGCGAACCGACCCCAACGACTAGGAGGTTGCAACTTCTCAGGGATCCATTTCATCAAGTGTCGGTGGCGTCTGCTGATGATGTCTGCGAGTCGTGTTGAACTGCCTCAACGCCCTGAACGGCTGCCATGTCTCTCCTCCTCCCACACTCTCGCTCTGCTGCCACTGCAGGAGGTGAGTACATTCATTTTCACTTTTGTGGGGGTGCTGGCTGCAAGACTGTGATTTCTGACTGTGCCTGTGAGAGAAGGGGGGGGGGAGGTTCAGGGTGGGGTTGGAGTGTAATATGGGGTGATTTTAGCCGAGCGTGTGGGACGGAGGCGCTGTACATATGGCTGAGCTACGAATGCAGATAGGGACATATTTTTTGCTCAAGTACCTTCAGCGCATTCACTAGCAGGAAAAATAAAATAAAAATAAAATAGAAAAAGAAACTGAGCCAACTGAATCAAACTTGTCAGATGGAAATGTTTGTTTTGCTGAATGTGCTTTAGGAAGACATTTTGTGACCTGGTGCTTTTCAAACATGAACCACATGTACAGCGAGAGGTCAATTCTGATAACACATCTAAAATTCTCCAACACAAACGCAGAATTGGTTACAGATAATCTTGACAATTTGTGCTCACCACAACGACGTCCAGAAGACTGATCTGGAAACACAGCAGCTTACAGAGATCAGGAACATGCTTCTCTTATAAATGATAAAGTTTAATCATAAATCAGGTTTATTTTAAACTGGTAATCTGTTACACTGGTTGTGAAAAATGGTGTTAATTTCGAAGTGATCGTCTCGTACAGATTCACCAGAAGCAGCACTTTGCCCAAGTTTCTTCCTGAACGCTTCCTACGCGCCCGTAAAGAAATGCAGCCACTCTGAAAGGCTGCGCCTGTAAAGAAACTTGTTTTCATTTCCCTGACAGAAGCAGAGCTTTTTCGTGTGAAGGAGAACTGATGCAGGTCACTCTCATTTCTCTCCTCGCTCCGCTGCAGCAGGAGGCCAAGGTTTTACTCCACTTAACTGACAGCCGTGGGATTTCATCTCTCTTTTAAAGCGCCACGAGAAGTCATGGAGAACAAAACGAAGGTTTTTTTTTTCTTCTTCTCACAGAGGCAGCAGGACTTGAATGTTTTTGTATTTTATTTGCTTCTCTTCCTCATGCCATCCTCTCCAGTACTTACAGCTTCCTCTGCTGCTACTTCTTCGCATTTGTGCATCTGAGTTGGGAGCTTCCTATGACTTTTCAGAGACTCTGAAGGAGAGCTGAGGATGCATGAAGAAAACATAAGGCATGAGGCTGCCTCTTCCTCCTCCTCCTCCTCCTCCACCACCTCTCCTCCTTCAGCCACAGAATAACCAAGTGCTCACAGAGAGCAGGAGAAGATTAAAGGGAGGTTGTGTGGAGGCAGAGAGCGTTGGTGCTTTAGCCCCCAGAGGTCATTTGGGCGTCTTTGAAAGCATTCAGGCCTCGCTGCGTCTGACCTATCCTCAAGATGAGACGCTTTCATCAGACTCTGCAGGACACAAGAGCCCACTCAGGATCTGCGTCACAAATTGGAGGAGGTCTCTGTGTGTGCATTTCATATTGTTATGTATAATTCAATGCTTTTACTCCCATAAAAGCCGCTGCCTTGATCTCTGCTCACACAGGCCATCGAGAGCGACACTCGAACTGGAGTTTTCCACGTTCCTTTGTGCGGGAGGAGACCGCAGTGAGATCTTTTGAGATGAAAACAATCAAAACTGTGGAGGAGACTGTGCTGCAGGAACATACCGTAGTTTCCAGACTATAAGATGCTACTTTTTTCTCCCCCCACATGCTTCGAACATTGCGATGGGGCTAATATACGGCTTGTTGCAGCGGGTTTCGAAAGGCTGGACGGTTACGTGACGAAAAGTGTCGGCTGAGAGAGACAACCAAACCGAGTGTGTATGTGTGTGCGTGCGTGGGTTTGTGTATGTGTGTGTGTGTGTGTGTGAGGCCTGCAGGATATTAACAGAGAAAACTATCACTGCACCTGACCCACACAAACAACCACATTCCCAACGCGCAGCAGAACCAGGACAAATCAAACGACGTCGCTTAATTTCTATTCTTTTTGCCAAATGTTTTGATAAGATTTAACTACTTAATATAAACAAGTACAATTGTTTCTACTACTTTAGAACTTATACTCTAGAAATTATAAAATTGTGTCTTCCTTTTAGTTGAGTCATTTTTAGTTCGCTTCGTCCCACAGTCACAGTTTGCTTAGGCAAAAAGTGCCAGACGGCAAATATAACATTTTTATTTAGGATGTACGTGTGCCCACCTCCACACACAGATAAATATGTTTTGACACGCAGGAAAACATTTTTCCACAATTTTGTAAATAATAAACAGGTGTAAATGTCAAATAATTATAGTAAAAATAAAAAAACTCAAAGGAAAACCTAATTATCTGAACTTCTGGTGATATTCGTACTTATAAAACTTGTAATTTTACACTGTAAATTGTTGTGGTTTATGAGTATATTACACAGAAACCGTCATTTCATTCCCCTTTTTTTGACAACCCGAGTATTTTCAGGATTTTAGTCATTTTTATAAAAGAAACCAAGCAAGAAATAACTGTTACATTATGCCCAAATAAAGCCTAAAAGTTTAGAAAAATAAACCAAACGGAAAAACGACACCTTCGATTGTGTTTTCGCTGGCAAAGTCAGGATGTCATCCCAACACAATTACTTGGCAACACGCGGCAGAATAGCATCTCGCAGTCAGACACCAACAACAGAAATCAGATCTTCATTTTTGTGTTACAAGCAAAAGAGGAAGTGTGAAACACTTCCACCAGCACTGCTGGGGCGAACATGTGGGTTAACAAGCTCAGCAAGGCAAATAATTGGTACAAATAAGTCATTAGCACAGTGGAAAGCCTCAGATAAAATGTGAAGGAGCACTAATTGAACATGATTATAAACTTCCTTCCTTCCACCTCTGCCAGTCGAAGCCGTAACGACGACAAGGGCCTCGCAGATAATTAGGATCACGGGGCAAAAGTGGCACCGAGGAGGAACTCCGAGGGTTCTCCGCTCTCTGCAGTCAGACAGCACATAAATGCTCCGGCAACAAGAGTTGATCATCTGCACATTTTCTCAAGCTGCGCTTTTTAATTAACCCTTGATCACATTGCACCGGGTTAGGTGG